GGATCTAAATTTATTAAATAGAAAATGCATAGAAAAAGTAAATTTAACTTACTAAAAAAATCATCAATGTTGCTAACGCAAAAATGCGATCATCGCAACCGGATCAAACTAACACAAATGTCATGTATCATACACACCAATGTGCAAATAGCGTATCGACACGATTCGATCCAAACAATCTAATAAAAATAAAAATAAAAAAATAAAGTGAAAAATAAATTTAAAAAAACTAATAATATATATTAAAACAAGACTAATTATACTATAAACAACAAAACAATAATTTGAAACGTAACCTTGTATTCTATATATTAAAACCAAAAACTAGTTTTATATATATATATATATATATATATATATATATATATATATATATATATATATATATATATATATATATATATATATATATATATATATATATATATATATATATATATATATATATATATATATATATATATTAGTAGTAATAGTTAGTAATAGTTATGAAAAACAAGATATAAGGAAACAGTACCGATGCACATTAGAACAAAACTTTGTTCTAATGTGCATCGGTACTGTTTTCTTATATCTTGTTTTCCATAATTATTACTAACTATTACTACTAATATATATATATATATATATATATATATATATATATATATATATATATATATATATATATATATATATACCAAAACCAAAATGTAGCTTCATATAACATAGAACATAAGCTATATAGTAAGAATTGAAACAAACTCACACGGCGGTACGACGAAAAAAGATCAACGAGGATATTGCAGGAATGACCGTGTATTTTTTTCTCTCTCATTCAACAAATGCAACTTATGTATATATAGGTATCAAATTAGAGTTAATTCTAAATTGTCAATAATGTTCTTAATATCCACTTTAAAGCCCAAATTAAATAATTAGTTGAATCTAAAATAAAATAAACATTTAAAATAAATTTAAAAATTAAAACATTCATTATCCTATTTATTTATTTTTAAAAAATGTAAAAATAAACGGACCTCAAATAAATAAAAGTCGGACGCCCAAGTGTTCGAAAAAATAAACTAAGTATACTAAAATGATCAGCGCGAAATATACGACTCGGGAAAATACAACATTTGATCAGATTTTAAAATAAATTTTGACCTGTTAAAACGTTCAAACTGATCAAAATGCGACAAAAAATAGTCAAAAAATTAAAACGAACATGTCAGGTTAAACTACGCGAAACGTAGATCAATATAATTGACGTTTGCAAGTTCGATTTTAAAATTTCTTATCCATCAATTTTACGCACCGTTGAGAATTGACTGTCTGTCTGTAAATCTGAGAAATTATTCCGGTGACATTTTAGGAACTATGCAAGATAAAATGCGTGCTATGCAAAATAAAATTAAAGTCTGATGAATGAAAAAATTAAAAATTAAAATGCCCGAACAAAATCATGACTGAATAACCACACTTGACTTGAAACCAAAATTTCTTCCCTTGAGTGCACACTGATCCCCTTGAGAAATCATGACAAAGATGACCTTGATATTTGTTGAGTCTTGATAAAGAAGATAATCATGACGTTGGGAACTCAGTCTTTATCTCAACTCGAGTGCAATAGCCAAATAAATTACCTTTGAAGAGGAAAAAAATCAAATCACAGGAAAATTCCTTGATCCCATGTCTTTATGAGCTCAATGCAAATGAATGCAAGGTTATGCCCTAATTGAAAATGCACATAATGTAAAACACGTGGCAGTTATGGTTAGAAATAAGAGAGGGCAAATTTTGGGGTGCAACAAATAGAGTTTGACATGCATGCTTGTTTCACCTTTCACCTATTACATATTAGGTATATGTATCCAAACATACATCACTTTATATTCAAGCCACTTACAACAATTCCCTAAAATCAATTTAATTCTCGTCAATTAGAACCAAACGCACATGGTTTTAAATTGCGATTGCGGCTTCGGATGCGGTTGCAGCCATTGCAGTTGCGGTCGTTGTGATGTGGATTGCAGTCGTTGCGGCGTGAATTTATTTTTTATTAAATAAAATAGTATATTTTATTATAGGTATTAGATTTCACATATATTTGTTGCAGGATGATGCGGTCTAATGCATACAAATGTGGTCGTTGCGGTGTTATAATGCGGTTGTTGCAGTGTTATGATGCGGTTTTTAGTGTGATTTACAATCACACTGCAATTACGGCCTGATGTGGATGCGGGCACTACCACAACCCCAATATTGCGGCCGCATCACCCATTTAAAACCATGCAAACACACACTTAATCAATTTAGAATTAACCGTTTTAAATTTTGTAGTGACAAAGAATTCTGAAGTATGAAACCCTAACACAAAATTATTCGAGAAGGACATAGATTTATTCCAGTGATAAGATAAAGATATTAGATATGTATACCTTGTTATGGAAATCGACGGAAGACAAATTGGCTTTGAAATCAGTAGAGAAGATTTGTTTGAATGAAGGTTGAAGAAATAGGGTTTGTTCAATCCATACACCGTTGATGAAAGAGATGAGAGGTCTGCCGACGGGAGCAGTGTTAGAGAGAATGACGGAAACAAGCTGAGAGGCGAGGGAGTTGAGATGATGGGTGGATTTGGAATGGAGGAATTAAAAAAGTTTTTGTTATGTAGGACCCATAGAGCCAGCAGCGGTGATGCTAAGCACAAGATAGAGCAACAATGGTGAGAAGATGATGTTGTGAGATACTTCTTTCGAGAACAAATGGTTGGCGATGGTGAGAGAAACATTGCTTTGGTTGATTATTGATTCATGGAGATCCATTATTTCTTGTTTCGATTTCAAAAATTATTCCTCAAAATCAAAAGAAATGATTTTTAATTTGAACAAGTTGGAATAAAACTAGATGCTTACGGATTATGTTTTATACTCTTTGGTGTGTATGTGCAACCGTGTACTGTGTTAAGTATAACAAGTGTGAGTAGTGTGGATAATAGTCGCACATTGATAGGAATATGGTGAATTGAGCATTTATAAGTGGGAGAACCCATACACCTATCACCTTAAGGTTTTGGGTGAGTATGTGGTCTGTCTCTCACAAAGGTGTTGCTCTAAAAAAGAAAGTCCTACAATGTTCAATGCTCCCTAGTGAAAATCTCCCCTAAGAGTGGTATTAGATCCTGGTTTGAGGGAAGGACCTGCTCACTTGTATCGAAATTACTCCATACAGGTGGTGGTTAGGAGGTGTCCCGTTGAAGACTGTCAATAGCAGTACAAGGGTGGTAAGTAAGAAACACACAACAGAAAGTGCAGTTGCACAGTTGAAGCTTTCACTTAAGGGAGAGCATTGTGGAAGCATTGTGGATAGACTCACACTTGAGGTGGAGTGTTAAGTATAATAAGTGTGAGTAGTGTGGATAATAGTCCCACATTGGATAGAAATATGGTGACTTGAGCATTTATAAGTGGGAGAATCCATACACCTATCACCTTAAAATTTTGGGTGAGTATGTGGTGTGTATCTCACAAAAGTGTTCTTTTAGAAAGGAAAGTTCTACAATGCTCAATACTCTCTGGTGAACGGAATGATTTTTAATTTGAACAAGTTTTTGGTATGTATGTGCAACCGTGTATTGTCCTCTCGATACTTATGAATTAAGTTTGAAAATTACTTTTGTCTTGCTTAAGGTGCTTTAGTATTTCTCTTGCATTTTCTTTTTCAAACTGGTATTTTAAACTTTTCTTTTACTCACTTGTATTTTAAACTTTAAAAAAGAATAATTATGAAAATATTTTTCTTCTTTATTCAAACAAATCATAATCTATATTATTAAAATATATATATTTAGAGAGATGAAAAATAAAAATGGTTATATTTAGAATATTAAAAACATATTTAATTCTATAATTAATTGCTATTAGATTATAAATTTAAAATTAAAAATAAATATTTAATATAGTTTATTAAAAGTAATTGAGTAATTAAATGTTGTTTTTTTTTAATCAAAAGAAATTTTTGTATTAATTCAAAACTAAGAAGAACAATCTAACCTGATCCTTTAGCCACAATAGAGCATGATTAGACATACTAGGGGGAAGGATGTTAAGAGAGATGCCTAAATGGTCTTGAAACCATTCCACATTACCTAAGAGTCTGTCAATCCTGGAATGGACAGCTCATGAAACATGTTTATTGGACCATGTGTAATAGTCACCAAGGCTATCCATCTAATACAAACCAGATTTTTCCATCACAGTGGTAAGGTCAATATATTCAGCTTCAATAGTCAGCTTACCCTCAATCTTATCTTGAGTCTTGGCACATTATTGAAATCACCAAGCAGGCACCAAAGACCCTGCTGCTGACCATGAAGATTCTCAATGTCCCTTCTTAAAAATCTTCTATGTTTGAGTGTATTTAGGGCATAAATAGCAGTAAGACAATATTGGAACTTTCCTTCAAGATCATACACACCATAATGCACTAATTGGCTAATACTGATAATAAATCTAATGTCTATGCAGCTATTATTCCAAGCTATCCAAATTCTACCATTTTCATGGTTAGCATAGTTATCAAGATAATTACCTTTTAGGTTGAGGATCTTTCTAAAGTTCAGAGCTTTATCTTTCTTCACCTTTGCTTCTAGTAAAATAGCAATTTCGGGTCGAAGCTCTAAGAGACAGGAGCTAATCTCCTTAAGCTTACCCTTTTTATTTATCCCTCGCACATTCCATGCAATTATCATGTTCCAATGTCTTGGAACACTAGGGGGTCATCCAAAATCCCTAATTCCTCAAATTCATTGGTACATTGTACTCTGGTTGGTGTTCCTTCCTGCGATATTCGTTTACCTTTATCTTTGCCACTACTATGAACGTTTGTCGACTATCCTTAGGTGCTCTTCAGTTTGATTTTGAATGCTAGACCCTTTTGGCTTGCAGGACATTTGCTTTTCTTCCTCTGGTGGTTTAGGTTGTGGTCTCCACTGCATTTTAGGTTTTGTAACACCACACTTATGACCAACCTTTTGGCACTCTCACAAAATCAAGCTTCCACTCGTATTTAACAATTTGAACCAGCTTTCTCCCTTCATTATCTTTTATAATGATATCTTTCTTAAGATCCTGTGTGACATCCACTTCTACTAAGATTCTAGCATATGAAACTTGAAGCTTATTGGCAGTGCATTCATCTGTGAGCAGTGATGTTCCTAGTGTGCTTCCAATTTTTCTCAAACTCTTGGCCCCCATAAGTGTAATACATTGGAGAAGTTTGATCCAAATTGGTAGGGTTCTCAGCATATCTTCCTTTAAATTGAAATCCGGTTTCCATTCACTAAGCAACATTGACATGTTTCTTATAGAATACGGCCTCTTCATCATCATTGTTTTTATGTCTTGTGTGTTCTAAATTTGAGAAGGAAGTATTCATCCTCATTCTGTTTCGGTGACCTTTCCATGCTTCAAAACACACCCTTCACTCTAATTAATCACATATGAATGCTTTATCCTCAATTTTGTTGGTTGTCGTTAATATTTTAAAAGAAAAATATATATATTTCTACTATTAAAAATCAGGGTGTTTATTTGCCTCACACTAGAACTAGTTGATCCACTAATTTATTTGCCTTGACATCGCCTGTGTAGCGAGTGAGTTTATACTTTATAATGAGGAACATTTTTAAGCTTTCTGATTTTAAAGTCAAACTCAAATGATTTTTTTATAAAAAGTGTTAGACTTTACTTATACAAGTTATAGGTAAGTCATATACATAAGATCAAACTCTAAATTTGTATAAATGTTTATGGTAATCCAAAAAATAGAGTTCTAGCAAAAAATAGTGCATAAGTCAGGGTTAGGGTTATGGCTCAAAGAATTCAAGAAAGATTATAACCAGATTTTGTAAAAGAGAAATTAGATGATGAAATTATATGTCTACCGCGTGTAACCTCTAGTCAACAAATTGCAAATGTATTAACTAAAAGTTTGATAAAATTTACCTTTAAACATGTGACAAAACAAGTTAGATGTCTATGTACCAATTTAAAAGAGAGTTCGGAAGCATAGATAACTCTTAAATGAAAGTGAGATTGGATTCAAAATGTCATAACCTATTTTTATACTCTTACATACAAACATTAACAGAAGTACTTATATTCATATAAACTCTTCTTCTATACTTCGGCGGTGAGTGGCTAAGATCATTCAACAAGAGGATTGAGCACTTGACCAACAAAGAGGATTGTTCCAGTCAAGTCTTCTCTAATCACAAATAAGAAAGGACGATCAGCTACAAAGTCTACAGGAGTTGGAACTCGCATACTCCTTAATAGTATTGTTGCTGCCGTGGCCGCGGCGGCTTCTGTGCCTTCTTCATTCACTTCAATGAAAGACTTGTGAAATATATTGGAAACACAAAGGTTTTGACCCACATGAGAATCTACCATTTTTGTCAACCCTCCAGTAGAAAAAGGTAGAACCACTCCTAATTCCTTCAGAATATCAGATGTTTCAAGCCCAAAAGAAATATTGAATCTTGGAATCCTGAAGTCACCTACTTCCACTTTTTCAGAAGGGAGCTTGTGATCAAGTAACTCGGATTCAGAAGCCACCTTCTCAACCAAAGCTGACAACCCATCTTTTGCATTCGGAAGAAAAAAGTACATGGAGAATTGACGCTTATCTTCGCCTTGCTTATAAGGAAGACCAAGAACTTTAAAATCATTGAACTCTCTAATAAACTGCTTTTTCTTGCTGGTCATGAAGGGAACCTTGACTGTGCTACCATTCAAAAGGTGAAAATCGTTATCTTTAGTTAACGAAGCATCAAACTTGTCATTCCATGCTCCTTTAAAGTATAGTGCATTAGCAAAGATGAGCCTGGTTGAGCTGTTGACTGATCCTATAGGAAGAAGTTCTTTAATAAGTCCATTAGTCTCTTTTTCAGCCCATAAATTCACTTCATTGGTCACTTCAACAGCCTTCAAAACCATATCAAATTTAAAAATCAATGGTATAAATAAATAAGTTGAATTGCAATTGCTTTCACAAGTATATCAGGGAAAATTACATAAATAGATAAGTTAAATTCATTTTAGCTTAATATCCATATGCTAAAGGACGGGGAAAGTTGTTCTCCATAGTACAAGAACTAGAACATGCTTGACATATAACAGGTCTATAGGCTAAAGCTAAATGCAATTCAGGTGTAAAATTGATTTTGCAATGTTTGTTTTTTCAAAAGCAAAATTGCTTCCGGTTGAAGCTAGAATTTGTAGTTTCTTTTAATCAAAATCAATTCTCCAAAATCCATTCCCAATCAAATATTCTCACCTAAAAACCAAACACAATCAATTTAAAATTGGTAATGACCAACAGATGTGAACTATGAAACCCTAACACAAAATCGTTCGAGAAGTTATATTAATACATTAACAGAAAATAGAAACAGGGCATAGATTAATTCCAGCAATAAGAGGGAGATAATAGATATAAATACCTTGTTCTGGAAATCGACGGAAGACAAATTGGCTTTGAAATCAGTAGAGACGATTTGTTTGAAGGAAGGTTGAAGAGATAGGGTTTGTTCAATCCACACACCGTCGACGAAAGAGAGGAGAGGTCCGCCGGCGGGAGCAGCGTTGGAGAGGACGACGGAAACGAGCTGAGAGGCGAGGGAGTTGAGATGATCGGTGGATTTGGATTGGAGGAATTCAAGAAGCTGTTGTTGTGTGGGACCCTCAGAGCCAGCGGCGATGATGCTAAGAACGAGTTGTAGCGAAAGTGGAGATAACACGATGTTCTTATCTTGATGAGATGCTTTTGAGAACAAATGGTTAGCGATGGTGAAGGAAACATTGGTTTGGCGGGTTATTGATTCACGGAGATCCATTTTTTCTTGTTTCGATTTTTAAACAGATCTAAAACTTTCGAGCACTATTCCTCTTCTGAGTTTCTCAATTTTGAAATTGGTTTTTTAATGCAGTATTAGCAGTAGTTTCATACTATATGCGGTGTGTGGTGTAAGTGCCGCGTGTTGCTGTAGGTGCTGGCGTGTTATTCATTTACGTTGATATTTCGTCTTGATGCTTACCGACTAAGTTTGGAATTTGATACTGTCTACTTTTGAAAGTTTTACCCCATACCCCTACACTTATACCTATACCCCTACATTAAAAAATTTTGGACCAAAATATCCTCGTATAAAAATTTATTATTTTTTAATTTTTTAAATATTTTTTTATTTGTTTACCGGAAGACTTTTTGGAAGTCTTCGGGTTCACATTTTTTTAGTATGTTTACCGGAAAACTTTTTGGAAGTCTTCCGGTAAATATTTTTTTTCGTTTGTTTATCGGAAGACTTTTTGGAAGTCTTCCGGTTCATGTTTTTTTTTAATTTGTAATTAATATTTAAGATTTATTAATTTTATATAAAGACCAATTTAGTAAATTTTTGAATATTATACTTAAAATATAAAAATTCTATAAATAGAGAATCATTTTCAGAATATTTTCTATTTACTATAATTATTAGAATACTAGGATTAAAATCATTTATTTTAAATGATCATAATAGTAGAATTTTCTCAAATATCTTATTAATCTTAAACATTAATAAATAAAATAAATTTAAATATAAGATATAAGTTTACATTATTCAATATATTTAATCAAATGAAAACATATGTGATAAATAAATAATGTATTTTAACTTAAAATGATCACAATAAGTTAACTTGCAAAATAATATAAGTAATAAATTAATAATGTATTTTATTTAAAATAATCACAATAATAAAATACGCAAATAATGTGTTTTATTTATAGGACTGATATAGTTTTATTGATTATTTAATTTTGAATACTACTATGAATATAGTATTTAATCTATACTTTAGAACTCACATAATTATAAATATAAAAAATATTGTTTTATTACCCATATTTTTATTTAATTAAAAAAAATAAGAATATAAATTTATTATTTGTTTTTCATTTTTGTTTGATCTTTTTAATTATTTCACTTTATTTAATATTTTTAATAAAATAAATAATATATTTTATTTAAAGTAAGCACAGTATAGAATATGCAAAAATTTATAAATAAAAAAAAGATCAAACGAAAATATAGTAAATAGAAAATATTCTATTTATAGTAAATTGGTCATAGTATTCTAATAATTATAGTAAATAGTAATTTGATCTTTTTTTTTATTTATAAATTTTTTGCATATTCTATACTGTGCTTACTTTAAATAAAATATATTATTTATTTTATTAAAAATATTAAATAAAGTGAAATAATTAAAAAGATCAAACAAAAATGAAAAACAAATAATAAATTTATATTCTTATTTTTTTTAATTAAATAAAAATATGGGTAATAAAACAATATTTTTTATATTTATAATTATGTGAGTTCTAAAGTATAGATTAAATACTATATTCATAGTAGTATTCAAAATTAAATAATCAATAAAACTATATCAGTCCTATAAATAAAACACATTATTTGCGTATTTTATTATTGTGATTATTTTAAATAAAATACATTATTAATTTATTACTTATATTATTTTGCAAGTTAACTTATTGTGATCATTTTAAGTTAAAATACATTATTTATTTATCACATATGTTTTCATTTGATTAAATATATTGAATAATGTAAACTTATATCTTATATTTAAATTTATTTTATTTATTAATGTTTAAGATTAATAAGATATTTGAGAAAATTCTACTATTATGATCATTTAAAATAAATGATTTTAATCCTAGTATTCTAATAATTATAGTAAATAGAAAATATTCTGAAAATGATTCTCTATTTATAGAATTTTTATATTTTAAGTATAATATTCAAAAATTTACTAAATTGGTCTTTATATAAAATTAATAAATCTTAAATATTAATTACAAATTAAAAAAAAAACATGAACCGGAAGACTTCCAAAAAGTCTTTCGATAAACAAACGAAAAAAAAATTACCGGAAGACTTTCAAAAAGTATTCCGGTAAACATACTAAAAAAATGTGAACTGGAAGACTTCCAAAAAGTCTTCCGGTAAACAAATAAAAAAATATTAAAAAAATTAAAAAATAATAAATTTTTATACGAGGATATTTTGGTCCAAAATTTTTTAATGTAGGGGTATAGATATAAGTGTAGGGGTATGGGGTAAAACTTCCTCTACTTTTTGAGCTTTTAGAACCGGTGGGAAGAGATTTTGTCCAGCTGCCCCCCACTTATGATGATTTTAGCTTGCTCACCCTCAAATTATGTTTGACACCCTCCATAGTTTTATATTATCAAAATTGTTCTTGATTGAAAATTGAATGAAATTTTTAATAGGTTAAATGAAATTTTTTATATAGATAACAATTTTTTACAGTGTCTTATAAAATTTTGGTATATCGGAAATTTCTAAATGTTTGATATGTTAAATTAAATTCTAAACATTTAAAATTTATTAGTTGATATTGGAAATTTTAATGTAAGCGAAATTTTTGGTAGTGTATTTTTTTTTGGACGTTCAGGATTTTGCCGACAGTTTTTTATGGTTGTGATTGCACCGACAATTTTGTGTGGTCTGGAGTAAATGTATAGTTATATAAATAGGAGGTCAAATGATGTTTGATAAAAACATCATAAAAAATGTCTCTTCTTCGATTTTTTATTAAGGTAAAAGTGTACTTCAACGAAGTTCATCTCCCGTGGAGTTTCAGCTTTCAGATGGCACCACATCTCTCGCCGGCCTGACGTCCAATTTAAATGAATTGTTGTCTGATGCCGAGAATAGAAAGGTGAGAAAAAATAAGTTTTATGAAGATTGGATTGATATTGACGGGGGGTGAAATATAACTTTATTGAATTGAAGACCGACGAAGATGTGAAGGATATATGGAAGTCATTTTGTCGTTGGATAACAAAGGGGTCGATCGAGTTAGATGCTAATATTTCAATATCTGTTGACAACATGATGAAGATGCTGAAACGTCCAGAATCATCTGGTAATGTCTAAGTTTTCTAAATTATTATCGTTTTTTAAGTTATGATTAAGTTATGTAATCAATTATCGAATGCTAGTTAATGTTGATGTTGCATCAATGGAAGATCAAAAATATTATGTATAATGATGAAGATGAAGATGTCAAAAATATGATGTTGCAACTTGAACTCCCGTATAATCCGGCTGACCTGCTCGGGCATCGGAATTTTCGGAAAGTCCTTCATCTTCGACTCGTGCGATGTCACCTTCAGTGTAGAACGCTCTTGTGAAAAACAAATATAAACGAATTAGCTGATAGCTTTCATGGCACAAAAATAAACAAATAAAAGTTAAACATAAAAGGCATATACATTTCCTTGCCATAGTCGTAACGCCACATGGTTAGCATACTCAATAAGCATCAACTGGTCAATAGGTCCTCCAAGGAATCTTCCATCAGTGTACACAAAGGGCTCGATTGAAGGAATCATAACCTTCATGTCAGTAGTAACAGATGAGACCGAATCAACAACGATAGCATCTGGATGGACCACCCGAGTAACAACATCATCAACAATAGAATCCTTAACAACCTTCTCCAAAGCAACCTCCTCAGCAACCTCATCAACCTCCTAACACACCGAATCTGCACCCTCCTCAACAACCACCAGATAAGTAACCATCGGATTTGCAACAACAACAACATCTAGATGCAACACCTCATCTCTAGGGTGCTCTACTAATCATACGGGTATGCATTAAGAGATACGAGGTGCGCGTAACTGACCTTGCTCGGCTAACTGCTTCTGGTGTGAACCAGTTATGACCACTCATCCAGCCTGTATCTAGGAAGACTCAGCCTTAACATCCTTAGCACCCCTAGCCTGGTTTGTCGCTCTATCAATAGTTTTCCCTTAAATAGTGTCGTCTCTGCCTCTGTGTTTCACTATAAAAGAAGGAAAAGTTAAAAAAAAATTAGCAATTACCAGAAATTTCAGAATTTCCGGTAAAAAATAAAGTTTTTATAACTATCGGAATTCTGAAATTTCCAATTAAAAACAAAGTTGTTTTCAAAACTAGGTTTTTATAACTACCGAAATTTTTTAAAATTTCTAATATATTCCATAGGATTTTATACCGGAGATTTTGAAATTTCTGATAAACATTTTATAATAAACACTGGAAATTTTGAAATTTTTGGTACAAAATACCAGAAATTTTGAAATCTTCGATGTAAAAACTCATTGCTTTTGAAATTTTCGGTATCGCCCGAAAAGTTTCCAATTCGCGCCTGTATACGGTAAATTTTGAAAAATTTTGAAATGATTTTCCAAGGACAGTGTTGTCTTTTCTTACGCAATTGGGGTGTCAGGTTCAAGTGGGGGTGTCAAGCTAAATGCTCCCACTTACGTGTAGCTAATGGGCATGTGCGCCCCGTTTAAATTTGTCTCAAAAAAGTCCGCAAAGAAAATGGAGTGGGGTGTACATAACTGAGGGTGTGTTAAAACTTATGAATTAATAAGGGTTTCAAAAAGAAGAAAACGAGATAAATGAGAGGATATTATTGAGTAAACTTGAAGTGATTATAATGAAGTTATGATTGAAAAACTATAAAGGTATGCATACTGTCATACTCAAAATTTTACCCTCAGATCCTTTAATCATTTCATATTTTAAGTCAGTCATTTTTGCATTTACTTAGTTAAAACATTTCATTGATCATTAATCATATAGTTTTTAGTCATTTTATCGTTCTATTTTAGAATCTGTTTTTATTATCTTAAGATATTATTTATTTTAATTTAATTTATTTTTCAATTTAGTTTATATTTTAATATAAATTTTTTATTATTTATTTTTAATATAGATATATTTTAGTTTAATTTTTTAATTTAGTTTAA